GACAATGTCTAGCTCTAAGGAAGTTCTTTTAGCTAACATTTGCAGGTTCGCAAAATAAAATGCGTGTTTACATCTTTGTAAAAATATATGAAAGAATAAGTATTAGGAATGAAATAGGTTATTCCGTCATCTTCATTGTGATATCACTGTTTCAATAAATCCTACATTGTTTAAAAAGTTTATCTGAAAATAAATAATTGCTTTTTGATATCTGTACGTGCAGTGGGTAGGGAGTCACTTGTAAAGCTTACACATTTGTGGTTATCGTCAACCATATACAGTGATTTATAGGCATATTTATAATATCCATCGGATTTGTAGCTTAAGTTATTTAAACCAAATAATGATTTCTACATAAAAACTACAGTTCTTAGTTCAATACACACTAACAATGTATAGTGAGGATCAAAACGATACAAATGTGGCCGTTTTCCAACGCTATGATAAAATTAAATAGTACACATGTATTACACCGTATACAAAAGTATAAATCGTCCTGAAGAAAAATTAATTGTACTTCATTTGTATAAGATTTTAAACGAAAACGTTTCTTTATTTGGTAGATATTAATTTTTAAATATTCAGATTCTAGTTGAACAATTTTGCATTCAGGTAAAAAATAAAAGATAGGATGGAATATCATCTTACTGATGCGATATCGAGTAGTCTTGTTGTATACTTAAAAAATATTAAGAAGACAAAACAAATCATGAGACACGGGCACAATTAAGAATAAATTTTATTAGAAAAAAAAAGTAAAATAAAAAATACTAAATATTCTTCTTGTAAAAACTATCTGGCTATTTATACTTTTCTTGGTAGTTCCAGATAACATTTATAGATGCTATTTTATTGGTGTTCTGTTAAATATTGACCTCTTTATGATATTATCAACAGTCATAATACAGATCATGATCTAATATTATATTTGACATATCGCTAATTTAATCAGGGTTTCATTTGGAGGTTTTAAATTTGATAGTTACATAATTTATGTTTGACATAATGATATAGTTTACACAACATTATTGTGTAATGAATATTCAACATTTATGTTTTATTATATTTCATGTATGTGTCATGTACGGATACAACATTGAGTAGACCAATTTCTTTCATTTGAAGTGAAGTACTTTGATTCTATCCGTTTCAATTATGAGAGGTTTAGTCATGCCATGAGCTTGTAGAACGGGTGCATTAGTTAACATATCCTTAAGAGTCGCAAAAGCATCCTGAAATTTGCTTAATCAAGTAATTGTGCGTTGTTTTGGGCCAGTACGTTTCGTTAGCTTTGTAAGAGGGGCTGCCACAGAAGACAAGTTTTTCAGAAATCTTTGGTAATGTGAAGCTAATCCTACAAATTGTCGTACCTCTTGTACATTGGTTGGGCGAGGCCAGTCTTGGATTGCTTTTACCTTAATTTTGGATGGGAGGATACCTTGGGCCGATACATGCATGCCAAAGAACTCCACTTCTTTTTAGTTGAAGTTGCTTTTAGTAGGGTTCACATACAATTTATGTTCATGGAAACGATCTAACACCAACTTGATGTGTTCGATATGTTGTTCGGCTATCCTGAAGTAAATAAGAACATCATCCAAATAAAGTTGAACAAATTTATCAACATAGCCAGATGATATCGAGTTCATCATTTTTTGAAATACTGGTGGACTATTGGCTAAACTAAATGGTGATACCTTCCATTTAAAAAAAACCATATTTTGTTACAAATGCATTTTTAGGAATGTCCCCTTTACGAATACGAATTTGATGATATTCGGTAGTAACATCCAATTGACTAAAATATATGGCCCCACAAAGTTGTTCCAAGCATTCGTCAATACGAGGTAAAGGAGTATTCAACATTTTTTCACACAAGGAATTGATTATACGGTAATCAATACACATTTGTAGAGCACTACCCTTCTTATGAACAAACAATACTGAAGCACATCAAGGAGAAGAACTACAGCGGGTGAAAAAATTGTTCATGCGTTTTGCACTTACAGCGACTCACAAAAGTGTGGCAATGTTTCAGAATTTTAGGTAATTTATGCAAATCCGCAATAACAAATCGTCTCGTCTATTTATTAAGTGAATTACTACGTAGCATATACTAGCAGAAAGACAGAAGTCTTCTCGTTTTGATGATAACTTACAGCTTATATTCATTATATAATGTTTTATTTGAAAAAATAATCTTAAAAGTTATACGTATAAAAATTGAATGCAAATAGCTTATTGAAAAATGAAATGAACAACGTACCTTTTATGTTTAGTACTTGATAGCACAACCTTTTGCTTTAATTACTGCTTCAACACGTCTTGGCATACTTTCTATGTGCTTTAAGCATAGTTCAACTGTAACTTTATGATACCAAACATCAGCAACTCGCTCCCATAACTCATCCATGTTTTTTGGTGGCCTATCATAGGCAGCAAGCCTTCACTTCAAATAAAACCAAAGGTTATCAATTGGATTTAGATCAGGTGAGTATGATGGTCATTCAAGGACATTTATTTTATTTCTTTTGAACCAATTTCTTGTATATTTGGACGTATGCTTTGAATCATTGTCTTGTTGAAGGATTACATCTTTCTTACAAAGGCCATAATCCTTGAGCGTCTCCATAAAGTCATCTTTTAATATTTCACAATATAATTGCGAGTCCATCCCGCCCTCAATCTTGGCAATTAAACCAAGACCATGTTGCGTGAAACAACTCCATAACATTAAGCTTCCACCCCCACCTTTGTACTTAAAGTTGACGTTATGGTCTTTTAGAGGTTCACTCTTTTTAACCCATGTCCATTACTTTCCATCTGAACCCAAACGATTGATTTTTCTTTCGTCACTAAAGACGACCTTTTTCCAATCCTCAACCATCCAGTTTCTATGAGCTTTGGCCCATTTTAGACGATTTCGTCTACGCTCATTCGTCAATGGTAATGCAGATTTCTTAATCTTCGAATCCAAGTCGGACGATTTTAGGAATCTGTGAATGGTTTGTGTGGAAATATCATACCCTTGACCATGTAAGTTCCGGGCAGCATCCACTGCAGTGATAAAATGACCAGTATAAAAAGATCGCGCAATCAATCTTCCAAGTAACGGGATAATCGTCTTTGGTCTACCTTCTTTTATGTTAATCTCTCAACTTGATTTTATTTGGCAATTTTGCTAATTGTCCTAGTTGACACGCCCATTGCTGTAGAAATATCTCTATAAGACTTTTCAGCATTAAGTTTTGCTAAAATATCCATCTTTTTATCGTAAGAAATTGGTCTCATTCTAATGTATACAGTGACTCACAAAACTGTCCACGAATTTGCAAATTTTACATAATTAGTGACATTTATTAATTATGTTATATATCAACAGTATATAAAACTTATATTTCTAGAGAGCTTAAGACTCGGACATTTTATGTATAGAAAAGTTTACTAGAAAAAATTTATTAATTATTATTGAACCGGCTTTCAAATTATAGTATACAGCGTGAACAGTTTTGTGAGGCCCTAACGAAACTGCTAATTGTGAATAAGTTGAGGTTTCAGTACTTCGTCCAGTAACCTTTCGCCTTGATACACTCTTCTATACGACGTGGCATACTTTCAATAACCTTTCGGCATTCTTCTATAGTGATTACCTTATACCATATATGTACTACTCGTTCATATAGCTCATTCATGCCTTTTGGAGGCGTATCGTATTCATTTAGACGAATCTTTAATAAACACCACATGTTTCGATTGGATTCAAGTCAGGAGACTGTGCAGGCCAGTCCATAAGCTGATAATCTTGTCTATTGAGGTATTTTAGGACTACAGTTGATGTATGCTTTGAGTCATTATCTTGTTGGAAAATGATTTGGTCACGTCTGAGGTTCAATTGTTCACATGTATGCTGAATAGTATATGACAAATCTTCCTCCAAAATGCTTTTATAGACATAGCGGTCCATTATTCCTTCGATCTTGCAAATCTAACCTACACCTGCGTAGGTAATGGCACTCCAAAACATTAGATCGCCTCCACCATGCATTCGTGTTTGCTTGACATGCTGCGGCTGAAGCGTCTCACCGTCTCGTATCCATGCCCAGACACGTCCATCAGAATTAAACCTATTTATTTTTGTTTCATCAGACTATACTACACGCTTCCAATCGTCTATAGTCCAATTGCAATGCACAAGACACCATTCAAGCCTCCTTTTTGCATTTGTACCGCTTAGGGTAGGCTTCTTTTCCTTTTCGAAAGACCTCAAACCAGCTTCCTTTACGGCTCAACGAATAGTCTCAGCACTGACATCAATGTCACAATTCATTTTCAGTTGTTTTCGGACTCGAACCGCATTTTCTAGACGTCCTTTGGTTACTAAATGAACGCAATGCCTTTTATCTGCTAGAGTCAAGATACTATATCTTCCGCCTTTATTCTTAACTCTGTTAAAGCAATTTTGTCTTCCAATTTTGGATACTCCACCAAGACTAATTCCAACCCTTTTAGCTACTTCTCTTGTGCTGACTCCAGATCTCAAGAGAGAAATAACATTATCACGTTGATCTACAGGAATTGCAGCCATATTCAATAAACGTACCTATATATTGAAGTTAAAACCTAATAATAAAGAGTAAAAATGATACAAGAAGCTAAATGCTGGCTAAGTGGCAGTCCGATATATATCAAAAACCAAGTTGTGGTAACGACTTTTTAATTTTTTAAAATACGGCCACAAAAGTGTTTACACGGACATGTTAATTTAAAAGCCAGATTCTAGATTCCTTAGTCCTCCAGTTAAAATAGTATGATTATATACAAACTAAGCAGATTTGAAGCTTTCGATTGGTATGTTATATGTGAATTTACTGTTTTAACTTCAAATGTCAATTTTTGCATATCTATAAAATTTCGGAGAGTGTGAACAGTTTTGTGAGTCACTGTATTTCAAGGAGCTCATCCACCATAGGTCGAAGGAAATGGTTAGTTTCTGAAAGAGCAGCTTCACGAGGGCCAGGCATCAAGCCAACAAGAATCATATTTTGTTTTTTAAACCTCTCGTTACGAGGAAGGTTATTAATGATCAAATATATGGCACCTACGCGATATTTCATTCCTTGAGTTGGAGTAAACCAGTCAACATTTAAACTTAACATTAATGAACCTTCTTTTTGAAGAAATGGTTCGTCTTCATCATCCTTTTTGAATTCTTTAAAAAACTGACCATCAAAGATGTCAAACATCATTCCAGGCATTACAGTTTTACTTCTCCATTCTTCAATTTTTTGCTCAAAAGTAGAGCGCATGAAAAACTTCATCAAAGTTGCCTTTACTGAGTTGTAAGCATAACGTTTGATTGGTTTGGCCGAATCGTTGCTAGCATTTTTAACTACTAATGGATAATTGCATCATGCTCTCATTCCATTAACATACAAGGGGAGTGTTCTATTTCTGTATTTTTTGATTGTATTCGAATTATCGATAACTTCCTCGTATAAATAAATTGCATTGCACTTCTCACAAACAACATATTTTTGATATCTATTATAATGAGAAATTAGTATTAGTAAAAAAACAAATAAATAAAACAGTTACCCTTGCTAGCATAATTAGCAGAAATTTTAGATTTAATTGTTGGGGGTTTAGAGGGGAATGCATAATTAATTCCAAGTAGAAAAAGTATAGCATTCATAAACTTGAACAAGCTTTCTGTAGCTGTAATGGTTAAATTATTGGCTTGAAAGAATGTCAAGAAAATCATAATGAGGTAAGGTAAAGCTTCATTTTCACTAATGTTGAATAACTTTGTATCGTTAGATGCAAAGTTATCATTAGCTTCATCTATATATGAAATAAATAAAACAGTTAGCATAAATAATTTATATAAAGATTATCATAGCAATATTATTTTTTAGAAGGTAATACATACATTCATCTACACCTTCTTCTCCTTCTAGATAATCCATGTCCTCTAATTCAATAGCATCAATGGCATTGTTATCTTCAAAAATAATATCATCATTTGCATCATAAACATCTTTAACACGATAACAAAAAAAAGTTAGCATTATTGCATTTATTAATTATAACATTTGAAATGCATAGTTTTTATTTACTTTGTTCAATTGCATTTGCATCTGCAAGACCTTCATCAATTTCTTGATGTATACGGGCCGTATGTCTGTGGACAACCCTATATCCCAACTCACTTTGAGAGCAAGTTGAGCATTTGCATTCTCTTTGGTCTTTGTTTAATTGAATGGACATGTTGCAATGAAGTTATAATTTAATTTGAAATGTTAATAATCAATATAAGATAATAAAAAAGGAGAAAATAATTTTATTACAGACGATTAAATTTATTGCTGTAGTTTAAACTTAAAAAATTGAGTTTTTTTATTCATTTTCAGAAAAAAAAATAACAATCAAGAGAAGATGCATCTTACATTTGAAAAATAATAAATAGTTTTATTATTTTTAATTGCTTTAACAAGTATATATTTTATTTTTTACATCTACATTCAAGCTGATTTTGGAATGACAATTAGACATTCTGACATTATGTTCAACTACGACAAATTAATCTTACTAGATAAAATAACTTATTGTAAAGTAATAATATAAGTTTGATTTTAACAATTGACATTATACATAACTCATTACTGTACATGTTAACTTGAATTTTTATTATTTTTTTAATACATTTTTTTTTGAAAATGTTAAATAATTTGACCTTCTCTTAAAAAAAAGACTTACTTCGACTTTACATTTTAAACATTTATCTTGAATGAATTATTGCTATTATTATTATTTTTTCAACTTATTTTGAATTCAGAATATAACACAGCTAACACACGCTTATATTTGATGACTTGTTCAAAAAAATAAAAAAAAAATAATATTTTTGTCCAATAAAATTTAAAGAAAAAAAAATGTCGGGATTCTAAATTTATTTTCTAGTAAAAAAGACTATACCCAAAAATTTGTTATATTTTTTAACCATTAAACAAATCTTTAAATGCTAATATCTCTATCAATTCTTAGCCAAATAAAAACATTTTAACATATTCAAAATGAGCAAATTTTTCTCTTTCATTTGGTATAAAAGTTTTTTAAAGCTTCCAATTTTCAATTGTAAAAGGTCACCTTTTAAAAACTTTTACAATTGGTAAAGTAGACTTTATCTCCAGTGATCTGAAGTTTTACTCTTTCGTACCTCAAGAAGTCAAGAAACGACAAAACTGATAGATAAATACTTATGTGAAAGAAAAATTAAGGAAGGTTCGAATCCTTAAGTGTTGTGTTAGTTTCCAAGAAAATATATTTATTTTATATTTTATTTTTTTTATTTTAAAATATTAATTCCTGTTCAAAAGTTCTTTTTTATTTATCAAAAATATTTTCCATTATATATTCATTTTTAAGACAGGGATAACCCCATAAAGATAAATAGTGATATAAGTCCGTCCAAGTAAATATTATGTCATACAGAGCTTATCTAAGAGAATTCATGCATTCTGATTGGCTAAAATTTTAGGATTCACAATAACTATAGATTAGTGCTTAACAAAACTGTCGAGCCTGATAATGTTTATGAGGATACTCCATTAGAAGTAGAGGTACGTCTAAGGAAAGAAGCAAAGCGGAAAATGAAATTCAAGCCCATTACCAATAACAAAAGGTTACGTAAAAACGGGGTCCAAAGTGAAACATGTTAACACGTAAAGACTTCTTTAAGGCTTTGAATATTTGTTCAAATCTTATTGGAACACGTTCATACTTAGATAATATTTTACAATATTTTATTTAGTATAAATACGATTTTGATTTGAATGAAATAAACATTATCTTTGATCTTGTCTTTTAATTAACGTCTTCTTTAAATTTTATTTTATTTTGACTTACCGGTTAACCCACTGGAAGCAATTTGGTGTGTATTATCCTTGAATCACGGCTTGAAACAGATGTTTAAAGGTACCTTATTACATCGGTGAAAGCTCTGAAAAAAACACGAACTGACCTTCATTTTAGAATTATATAACCCTTTTCATTTGCTACTTCTTTAACGACAGCATCCTTTACTATTGGCCTTATTATGAAAGATTCTCAGTTTTATGTTTACATTTAATTGGACCATATACACATCTTTTTGTGGCTTTTATATTACATATCCTTTTGCTTTATTGGTTTAAAATATTATATATTATTTATTTTGTAGGCCTTTACATGCCATATATAGAATCTTATTTATATATATTTGTTTACAAAAAAAACGCGATTTTTATTTATAAAAAAAATAAATAGAATATACGATAATAATAATAATAATAATAATAATACAATAATACAATAATACAATAATACAATAATACAATAATAATATAGAAAATATATTTATATAATATTGTATTCATTGCATTTCTTTGTATAGTCGAAATAAAGTATTGTATATAATAGAAGAAATACTTACCTTTGATACGCCTTCATTAGCACAAACACTTGTATTAGCCAGTAGAACCTTTTGTAATAACGTGTACAGTAGTTACAAGAATCTTTATCTATATATCAATAATTAAAAATAAAGTAAATATTAGCTATTGTAATCCTATAGAAGAAAATATACTCTACTCTAAAGTGTTTACCTTTTAAAGGACCCAAAAGAAAAGCAATTAGTAACTGCCAATGTATGCCAGAATTAACTAGAGAAAGTAGTACTATTTATACAAATTAATAAAAGTTAGAATTAATAATAAGATAGAAAAATAATACATACCAAAAAGTATTTAAACATATCGTTTATTCTTAGGCACAAAGAAGGAATAAAAGTAAAAAGAGTGGCACTTACTAAATAGTAAACATATAACAGTATAAGATATAAATTGAAATAAGATTTATACAAAAAAGAATAGCTTACCTTATATATTATAACAACTTATCTATTATTACAACTTATATATTATTGCAACGTTTCCTATTAATATTAATCAGTCAAAGAGTTAAATGAATCGATCGATATCAACTTCGTATTACATAGAATATTTACCTTCTTTGATAAATACAAGCTGCATTTTTTCTATTTTTTTTTTTTTGAAAATAAAAATAACGCGTCAGTATAAGATTATTGCCTTTTATCAAATGACATTATATTAATGAATGACAATTAAAAGGATATACTTACCTAATAGCTATCATTGATTAGCATTAATGTTGTAAAGAAAATAATTGAGAAAAGATAAAAGAAAAGATAAAAGAAAAGGAAAGAAAAGAAAAGGAAAGAAAAAAAAGAAAAAGAATAAAAATTTTTTCGTCGAAAGTTAACTGAATTATATAAAACTTACTAACTGAGACACGTAGTGGTAGTGATATCGAGTGCCATTATAAGAGGAAAATAAAACTGGAATTAAATCAACCAAGCAGTTTCAATATCAGTTTATTGTACTATACTTATAGTGGCTATTGATTTAAAAAAGTAATTCTTTTTTTTTTATTTCTTTCTTTATATATTTATATATATTTTTTATTAAGAAGTACCGAATCAACATGCAACAACCTAACAACAACGCTCGTCTCAACACTCCTCCTGTCGTTATGACAGCCGGTTCTTCTAACAGAAGTGTTGGCAACTTCACTCCTGTTAGAAGAAGTGCTGCCAGCAACACTGAAGTTGCTGAATTAAAAGATAACGTTAGGCAGCTTCAACAACAGCTTGCCTTAGTCCAAGCTCAGCTTGCTGCTGTTGTAGCTTCCAAAGATTCAGGCAGCACCGGCAAAGGTCTAATTGGTAGATCAAGAGAGACTTCGGTAAGTAACACAAAAAACTGCTAATGTGTATATTAACCTTTAAAAACAATTATACCTGTAAATAAACAATATAGAGCTTGATCAGAAGAACATATGATCAGTATTTTGAAGATAACCATCTTCAATACAATTTTAATTTGTCATTGAAGACTGGTTCCAACAAGATCATCTATGATCATATATTAAATACTGTTATTACCAAAGAAAAGGATATCACGCGTAATAACAGTATTAGCGCTCAAAAATTGAGGGAACTCAAAAAGCGCATAAGAAACCATTACGAGAACCTGAAGCATCAGCAGAAGGTTCGAAATCAAAGTCAAGAGGTACAGCAAGCGCTTGCTCATAAAAGAAGAATAGCCACAAGAAAAAACAGAGTAAATAT